GCAAAATACCTGTGGTCGAAAACACGTTTCTTTGTGCATCTTTTCTTTTTTTCCTCTGTTCTTTTTTATTTTCTCTTCCAACACTTTTTCCAACACATCGTTACAAATCGCAAAGGTAAAAACAAAGGCTCTTCTCATATTTTCTACCTCGTCTTTGTTCAGGTCACTCATTTGTCAAATAAATAGGTGGAAGAAAGTGGATTTATAGGTACAACTTCCATGTGAGTGTAATGTTGATTTAAGCCTTATTTGAGAAAGCGTTTCTTGATCGGAAAATTGGATTAAGTGCTGTATTTTTCGGTTGAAAATGTGAAGTGAATATGATAGTGGAGACAGATACTTCATTCTTTAATGCTTTCCTAAACCAGACAGAGATATCACAATCCCATTACGGCACGTATTCAACAACAACTAGGCTCAATCCCATTACGGAACATCGGTGTATTGTCGATTCTGTATCCTCCTCTTCTCGGTATCTGCTATATAGTTAAGAGATATGAGGATTTTGAGGATTTTACTCTGTTACGGTATCCGTATTCTCTTCTTGTGTGTGTTCTCGTTTTAGTTGAGAGATATCAGGATTTTGAGGGTTTTGCTGTATTACGGTATCCGTATCGTACTCTACTCAGTATCTTCTATATACTTGAGGGTTATGCGGATTTTGAGAGCTTTGCTGAATCACCTTCATTTGGGGAAGTGGGGCGTAGAAAACTGCAAAATTCCGTGTATCGCTACTCGTTCGCAGGCATAGTTAATCCAGAATCTGTCAGTTCGTTATTATCATAATTCTCTAAAGATCCTCCCAAACAACACATTTCAAGTAATACTGTTCCTAAAATTGCGCGGAAAATCTCGTTGAATTCGAATAGAATTGTAATTCTCGTTCAATCACAATTGGATCAGATTCCGGCAGAATTAAGTCACCATGAGAGAATCCTTACAGACGCCCATGGGCCCCTACAATAGTTCACACGTAAATATGCCCTCCGAACTGGCAGATTCTGGGTGAACTAAGCGCCAATTCTACCACATTCTCGTTCGATCCTGGAATAAGCACAAATAAACCTGTGTACAAGTGCGGGGCGTAGGGAGGAAAGGTGTATGAGACTGAGTACCGAAACCCTCAAAGTCGTCCGTCAACTAAATGGGGAACACACACAAGAAGAGCAAATGGATAGTGTAATCAGAAAAACCCTCAAAATCCTCATATCCCTCAACTATGTAGATGATACTGTAAAGAATAGGATACGGATACAGCAAAATCCGCATATCCCTGAACTATAAAGCGAACACACACGAGAAGGGAATACGGGATCTCTAATACTGGAAATCCATGAAAATGTTGAAGTACGCTGAAAAAAGTACGCAGAATTATTGTATCACGTTTTTTCTGTTTCGAAACGCGGATACGGGTCGTATTAGGATTATGACATCCGTCAAACCAGAATGTGCAATTTTTGATAACAGTCTGGCTGTGATTGTTTATACAGTATCTTCACTTTAATAAACTAACGTTATTTAGTAGCCTTGAGACGCCTAACACGACTGCATGTTTAATTAAGAGTACGTTTTCGTTTGACAAAAGTTTTTGATCATTTGCAAAGTTTAATCGATCTCTAACACACTATACAAATAAGAATGTAACTCATCGCAGAAAGAATAGTTCAATAAAATATTGCAATTTATCTTTTATGGTTAGAGGAACTCTATGTGTTGTTCAAAGCTATATGCATCAAGAAGATCTCATTTTAGTCTCTTTCGACAATAATTCCCTTTAGATGTCAATGCTTAATACCGCCGTTTATTTTAACTATGTAACTGAAATAATTCAGTTACAACCGCATCACAAATTGGTTGATATTCAAAATATACTAATAAACAAGTTTAACGTGGATATGAATTTGTACAATACTCAATTTTTGGATAATAGAGTGGGTGAATATATTGATCTGGACGAAGAATATTTTAATAATGCTTCAGATCTTTTATTGTGGTCAAAAGACAATGTAATCGAATTACAATTAGTCTTGAAATACACCGAACAATGCGATTCAAACGGTAATCAAATTTTTTACGTCATGATAGTCTTATCACTAAAAAACATTAGGCAACACTCGATAGTTTCGAATTGTCTGGTTTCACTGGACGACGCTCAGGCTCATTCAACGTTCTGAGTATTTAGCTACTTTACCCGTCAAGATAGAAAAGGCCTTAAACGTTCAGTCCATATACAAACAGACACCCAGCTTGAGAATTGACTGTGAATCTTTCTTTGTAACAAAGTAAGACTCACAGTCAGTTTTGTTCCGCAAAATGAGAGGCTTATTTTACTGTCTTTATTTCAGACCTAAACAACCATCATAATCCCATTACGACAGATCATAAATCAGACCTCAACGACAGTGATGATCATTTGTTAATATGGTTAGATCAACATATTGGGATTAGTGAATATTGTGTATCTTTGAAAAAAGCTTTTGGCATGATGGTCGATCCATCTTCAGTTTGCGTAACATGGGATATTAAACAAATAGACATAGATGGCTTAATTAGAACTCCAAAAGAAGAATCTGCACAAAATTTTTATCGATTATTACCTTGTGATAAGGTTGAAGTATGTCTGGAACTTATAAAAGCAAACGCGAACAAAAGAATAATTCTAATAACATCCGGTTCACTTGGTGAACAAATTATGCCGCATATTGACCAATGTCCACAAGTTGATTCAGTCTATGTATTTTGTGGTAATATATCACATCATATTAAATGGGCTATAGATTATCTTGATGTTTTACAAATATTTGATCATGAAACAGATTTGCTTGTGCGGTTAGTACGAGATCTGTCAAAATATTACATCCAAAAAGGACAAGTTTATCTGCAGAATGTGAGACCAACACAAGCATTAGATTGTTTTTCTTATGCTAAACAATTTATTTTTCGAGCAAATAGTGTTGATCGTCGAGATTATATAGATGATCTTCAAACATTAGATGGTAGCCCACCGCTTTACCAAGGACTCATCTTTCAAGCTGAACAACAATTGGAGAACATGACTAAATTTTTTTTGGATACATACATTTCGGAAAATGGCCCAGTGGACATTTTTCTATAGACCCGGCTGACATGTTTTTAATTCAAAAAGTGACTATTTTTGCTCAGTCCTACTTTACTACGTTTGTAATGTTATTGTAAATTAGAAAAATACGAAAATTCGGAAAAAAGTGTTTTTAGACGAAAAATCGCTGAGGGAGACTCTTGCCTTCATATTTTCTAGAAAAACGTTTTATTCAGAAAATGAAAAAGTTATACGTTATTCGCTGTAGTTTTATGCGCTGATCTCAAATTTGAAATTATTTTTCAATAAAAGCGTTTTTATTGAACAAAAAAATGGATTTTACCTTAAAAGCCAAGAGTTTTTGAAAAATCCTTATCTAAGTCCGAAATAAAAACCTCATAAAACCGTATGCACCATAGATGAAGCGTATGTCGACGAATATTTCAGCAAATTTTCATGCATTTTGGAGACTGGAAAGTATGGGAAACTCATTTCGTTTTAACTACCTTTTCGGATATACCGTCAGTTCGGACAATAATTTTTTTTCTCTCAAACTAAAAAGACTAGATAAACATTTTTTTAACTAATTGATAGCTAAAAGCGTCCGGATTCTGAATACATACGTTTTATACTTTTGAATTGGCTTAATGCGATGAAAAAATGTTTTTTTCTCAGAGGGCGCTAAACTATAGGCTGGTTTTAACTTCAC